CGTTCGATATAATCGATTAATACTTTCGTTTTGATTTGTAACATATTATCCACTTAGTATATCGTATCAATTATATTATTAAACTTTATTTAAATATAATATTTAAATTTATTTAAATACGAAGCATATATACGTATTATAAATATATATAAATAAATATGTATTGTGTATATATATTTTTATCTTGATATATGTATCTTGAAATTTGCCTATTTTTGCAGAGTGAACAGATGTTGTGTTAATTTTGTTGTTAAATATATATATATATGGGTTCACTCTGCAAAAATAGGCAAGTTTCAAGATACAATAACTTCTTAAAAAATTATCGGGATGTTTAAAAAAGCATTTTACAGGTAGAAACCTTTACTTTTCGGATCGTTACTTAAAAAAATGATCTCATGGAGATTTTATGAAGTTACATAAACAACAACAACAACAACAACAACAACGACAACGACAACGACAACGACAACAACAACAGACTAGGCAGAACAGTTTCACGGTTTTCTGTATTAGACATCGTCAGCTTCTTGTAGCGGGATAGTTCTCGGTATCTCCGGACAGTCCGCTGTGATACTCCACGATACTCGGCAAAGTGTAAAGCGAGAGGAGTTCTTCCTCGAGACGATGTATTCGCTTCGTGTGGTAGAGTGAGTGACCTCGAAGACCTAGACGAGATCTCTTCCTCGTACGCAGACAGAATCGGCAATACGCAATCGTGAGGATTGTTTGACACTTCTCGCGTGGCCAAAATTAGACATTCTGTATAAATTACAGATTGTGTGGCGAGTTTCTTTGAAATAACGAAATAATGCTGTCGTCAAAGTTTCGTCACAAAACCAAGCAGTGGTTATTTTGGAGAGCAACTCCGTTCGCAAGTTTCAACAGCACACATTGTAAATCCGGACGCTGCTTAACCTACTACTAATATTTTAAACCATGACAGTGTAAACGTCAAAAGAAATACAGACTCATAAAACGGCGTTCTTGGAGAGCAAATCGTCATTTTACGTAATCTCTCTTTTTTTCGACCTCAATGTTGAATATCGTTATTTATACAGCGGCAGCTTAGAATCGTTCATGATGTGTGTAATCTCAAAAAGACAACTCATTTAAAAGAAGCAAAATGTCAAAGTTATATTTTATCAATATTGTAACCACTAGCACCGTTAAATATAAATATACATGCGGAAGCAACTTTCTTCCAGTTTCAACATCCACGGTGACGGTGTGGAAAACAAAGTTATTCGCGCAAATCATCAAATATTGCGGTTTAAATCACAGAACAGTGAGAAAAATCCAGTCTAGTATTGGCTCCGCGCAATATGCAAAGAGCGAGAAATGATCGAGTTGTTTTCATCGTCGCTCGTGCATGAGAAAATAATTGGCGACACATTGCTACTGTTACGATCTTAGTTGGACAAGATCGAGGAAGGATAGGAACATACGATCGGCCTAATTATCGATCAAAGCAAAATGTGCTCGCTCGCATGCGTAATAAAATATATAATAAAATATATAAAATAATATATTTTATTATATTATAAAGAAATTTAATTCGATTAAAATTTTACGTGCGCCGAGGAAATATCACGGATAGAAATACAATTTTCTAAGCTAAACAGATATACGTTGCGATTTTTTTTTTTAGCCACGATAAACGCGCAACTTTTGTTCCATCGTACAAAATTCTAATCGGTTACTTTCCTCATTGAAGTTCTTATTATCAATGATATCTTGACGATAACAATAGTTTTATTGACAAAAAATTTCAATTGTGATCATATCAAAAATTCATTCATTCACTCATCTTTCGTACGATTCAGTATTTTTCAATGTGAATCCCATTTACATCTTCTACACGATTAATTTAATTAATTATAAATCATCTCGGTTGCGGGTACATTTGAGACGCGGAGGCGAGGGTAGAAGTAGTTAAAACTTGGTTTTTTTTTGTGGATACGGACGGTACGTGCCGTTCTCTTGACATTTCCACGTTTTGCTCTTGCGCCGCATTTATAGATGCGATTACGATGGAATACGGTGGAGGATTCTCGAATTTGTCCTCGCTGGATGGGTTGATGGTCGTTGACATCTGAGTAGACCTCGATGTTCCCTGAACAGTCATCACAGATGCGTAAGACGGTGGTAAATCTGGAGGAGAATGCACCGCATATGCTGACGATCCTGCCTGCAAAATACGAACACGTGGAAACATGAATTTAGCTCCTTTCCTTTGTGACGTTAAGTGCCGCATTTTGTACAAAATTATACTCTCTTCGATTTATAACAGACAGATCTGAAAATTTGTTCTTGAATTTATATCGCGAAAATTTACTCTTTAAATGATTTGGAGTGAATTTTTACTCTAAAGAAAGAGTAGCTTAATTTTCAATCTTTAAGAGTAAGATTCACAATAAAAACAGTTTTAGAAAGAACGTAACATATACTAAAATATTTTCGTACGTGATATTTTTCAAGAATAAGGGTGAAATCACACGGTGCGGAATAGAGAATGCGTCATCGAATCAGTGCTATTCCGCACTTTTCCATCACTTGGAAGCTTCGTGTGCTATGTTCACAAAGTGGTTCACAAAGATGCATCCAGGATAAATACAATATATTGTAATTTAAACACTACTATCTTTACGTGAATAATTTGCTTATTAAAAATGAAATATTATATAATTTATCAAATTGTAAAAACAATTTTCTGTTATAGTATTTAATATTTTACAATTAATATTGTACTTACAATCTTATAATAATTTTTTGAACTGCTTTAACGCATTTACTATCATTTTTCCGCATCGTGTGAACAGGGCACGCTGAAATCGCACCTAATGCGTCATTTTTTTATCTTAATATTTTTTTATCTTAATATCTACATTTACGCACTTAGATTTTGTCATTTTGCTTCATCGTCTTAACATTATTCCATCATATCAATTTGCGCAATTCCGTCACATCAATTAGCATCAAATTATTTTAACCTTTCAAAATACGACAGTTTATTACAAGAACACCAGGTTTAGGTTTATGGTTTAGGACAGAATGACGCACTCTCTATTTTGCAACATCAAATGCGGAATAGCATTGATTCGTTGCGTCTTCAACGACATATTCTCTATCCCGCACCGTGTGATTTCACCTTAGGACCCCTGAAAGATACGTAAAAATTCAAAATCGATTGGTCGAAAATAATAAATTAGTACCTGTCTGCGATTGGCAGTAATGTCCGAGATAGTCCGAATCGCCGCTCTTTGTTGCTCGATCAGAATTCTCGCGTGAGTTCTTTTCACGGTGTAAACGGTATATCCGCAAACCAGGAAGAAAAGTAGCGTCAATATTACCAAAACAACCCACATGTGCTCCCATTGCAGTAATATCGAGGCTATCATCGCTGTTGTCACCCATGCGACCAGGATAGTAGCCAGCATGCGGCCGGAGCAATCCGCATCCTGAATAAGTCGCATTATAGATATATGTATAGCTTTCGAGTCACGTGGATTTACCCCGTCTAATTGTAAGACGAAACGCGTGCTTGAGGTGTCTAGTTTTACTCCCTCGATAGTAGCGGTTCTGTGCTTTCGTAGTAACGATTAACAATAAGCAGCTTAAACAAAGCGTCCAAGATCTCGAACAGCGATCGGCGAACGAACGCTGATAGTCACCACCGATTAGAAGCGTAAAATTATCAAATTATCAAATTGTAATGGATAATCGCCGAGCGAATATTAAATTATCAGTAAGGCGGTATACATACCAACAGGATCAGAAAAAACATCTTGGATATGAGACAGTCGGAGAATTTCCTCCTCGCAGTAGTTATTAATCTACACGGCTTATCTCGCAAGTGTATACTACTTATTTACGATGACAAATGATCCCGGAGTTGATACACGAAGTGTCGCTTTTCACATCTCATTTCGTATCTTCTTGACGTGGATGTATTTTTAAAAAACTTGATTATCGAGGCAGTATATTAACAGTAGTCGGTAATACGGTCGGATTTTTGTGTACTGAGCCTGTACAGATTTGTAAAGCATCGTATACTGTTCGAAGCAAGGTGTTCATATTGTTTTACAGCGCACTAACGTTGCGTCACTAACGGATCAACGATATCTGAACGCAAACGAAAGTATTTGGACTCGGTATCAACCCATCGTTTATCCAGACGCTTCTGTTCCGGACGCTTGAATTTGTTCCGTTGAAACGAAACACTAGTACATATACGAGTCCCCGTGAGAAATCCAACTCAGTTCTTCGTGCAACTTCCTGCAAGTTGTATAACACATGCAAATCGCGGTTTGCGAGCGATAAGAGAAGTACTGGAAAATTATTTTAACGGTTAGGATATATAGAGTAAGAGTTCTGATTAGAGTCCTATAATAGAGATTGGCCACAAGTGATTTTATCAAAAGTGATTTTATCACTTCGAGAAAAAAAGGTATGTACTTCTTTCCTGTCTTTAACTTATACTATCTCATTTTATAATCCTTAGTACGCATAATTGGGTCATTCCTGCACATTGTTTTTTCTTCGAAAAACTAAAAGCACGGAATAATTAGAAAATTACATTTTTTTTTTAATACTGTTGTGTATTTAAGCCTTACAAATATTTTCTAAAGATGTTAAAATATATGTAAAAATCACTCAATAATTTTTGTATATTTATTAAAGTGATAAAAATTAACCCGGGACATGAATGGCGCATCGTGTGTACTAAGGATCGGAAAATCATTGTGGATACTTAATTAAGATTATAGAATGAAATAGAGTATATAAGTTGGAGTGACATAGTATATATACAGGGAAAAAGTAGAATATACTTTTCTTTGTTAGATTCTGTTACAGGGTCTCTCGTCAATCGTGGCGAATATTTATTAGGATCAGACAGCGAGATCGCGAACGAGATATATATTTGTCACTCGATCGCATACCTTGTATGTCGATCAATACATTAAAAACTCGCGATTATACTCTCGATCACTCTCGATGCGACACGACGATCACCCGGTGCATTGTAACGAAAAATGCTTGCGTTCGTTGCAATGAAACTGCAGTTCCAAGTAGAATTATTGAGGCAGTTTTAGTCAGTTTCAGCCAGTGTTTCATCAGCGTTAAAAACTGAAAAACAATAAGTTTCTACCTTTACGACGACTTAACGATAACTAACTTCGCGATAAGCGAATGCAGACCCTCTCAATGCCGTTCAGCGCGGTTATCATCTAACAATGACGTGTACCATTTTAACGCAGATAACGAGATGATATGCATAAACAGTTTAAATTTTCTTAAGTATGAAAAAATTACCCTCTGCAATAGAAGACATTAGACAGGTCGTATACGGAATACACGGAGTGTATATATAAATATATACGTATATATAAAATGACATAATCATGATTACGTTTGTGATATATCAAAGATCGTGCCGATGTAAATTTATAGCAGCAGGTACAACGTAATTTTCGCCATTTGCTATATATTCTACATTGCGATATATTTTACAATCCGAATATCAGTCGCTGTCCTCAGAGTTGTCCGTGTTGGGAGAGACAGCTCGCATATTATTTATGGTAGATTGCGCGATGTCAACGCAATTTTCTTATCTTGTGTTCTCACACAAGTACAGTAATGCCCAAAAAGCCAGCTTGGAGTTTACCTTTAAGAATGACAGAACGAACGAGAGATGTTGCTTTTATTCAACGCATCATCCGTTCGACATTAAGTCTCTTTGTTAAGAAAAAAATACATCGAAACATTTTTCACATACAATGTGCGTGTCCTAACGTGATTAATCTACGAAATGTACAAAAAAAATTCAACGTTCAGTTACATATCACAACTGTTAATCATATTAAAAGAAAAAAAGATGCGTATAATGTCAATCAGGGTCCAAATAAATTATTGATTCTCGATAAAAGTTTAACATTCGCCGGCGATCGCGTTAAAAATAATTATATTTTTATACTTGTATATAAAAAAAAGAAGTATAATAATAATGATGATGATGATGATGATGATCATTTGGACCGCGATTAAGATCTTCTCTTTTTGTACCTTTTTTTTTCTTCTCCGTTCTTCAGTCTGTTATTTTTATACGTTTAACCACTCCCTAAATATAAAGTGATAAGATCTACGTCACCGACGAGATACTATTAAAGACCAACATCCTTACAGGAGTTCGCGTCCTTGTGAATATTGAAGTAATTAAGAGTTAAAAACTCATAATATTGTACTAATTTTATGATTTATTAGTTTAGTAGACGTATTTATGCATTTAGAACTCAACAATACTCGATTTTTCTTTAAAATTGTGATTTTAGTGTTATCAAAAAGTTTTATTATCAACAGAGATGATAACTGCAGAGAAAAAAATTGTAATTCTGCAATATATAAGATATTATAGCTTTACAAGTATGCATATTTATTTATGAAACATTTATACTGTATAATAAAAAATCATAAATTTAATAATGTACGAGCCAAATATTTGTGTTAATAATAGCAAATTTATATCAATTGTCGATAATGTCAGCGTTCTTCAATTACCTCCGGGCCCTTGGGGCCCTTTTTATATCGCCGGAAATTTGCCCAGAGTTGACGGTCTTTAATAATATCTCGTCGGTATCTATGTCAATGCCGGGTCCGTTCGACATATATTAATGTGCCGCGAATACGATATCGCGTTAATTTCTTATTTCTAAGTGAAGACGATGAAGAAACTAATAGATAATAACTCTAAGCAAAATTGTTTACAAATTTTCTAGAACATGCCAAATACACACGTACCTTCATTGTTCAGAAAAAATAACGGGGCACGACATCATGTCGCGTTGAGTCGCTCGACTAATAGAGAACGAATCGTTTGAGCAATTATAACGAGAGAGTCGTTTTCCTCGATTCGATTTCGACAAAAATTCGTGGATGTAGATGTTGAATAGAAGGAACAGGATCGAATTAATGGCTAAATTAATTCGATAGAAGATAATGGGCCCTTGTTTAGGGCAGTAATCGCGGATTGAAACGTCCCATGTGAAGTATTATACCGGAAGGGTTGTGTCGAACGAAATATAAAAAGGGCCTGTCGAGCTTCAACCTCGGTCTCTCCAACGAGCCCGAGAGCTGCCTTTCCTCTCTGTAGAATCCGTACAGAAGCGTGCGCGATTGGTCTGCGTAAGAGTCTATATTGTCCTCTTGCGGCAACGTGCCGTATCTCATTGTATTCTCCTCAGCAGTGTTTCCGAAATTATCGTCCTCCGTTCGTCGCTCAATGTTTCTTCTCAATGGACTCGCGGGATAGGTTTCCACGTGATGTCGACCATTAAGAATATTCTCGTCGCCACAGGTGCTGAATAAATTCATCTGCGAAGAAAAAAATTCATGATTATAAGCAGCGTTATCGTACATATTGGGGGTATCGAACAGACAAATGTATGTATACCTGTAACACGTCGGCCAAGTGAAGACGGTGACCTATGCCGTTGATACCCTTAAAATCGGCGTTGCCCGAGAAGAGCTCATCAAGACCCATCCTCTTCAAGGCGGCAGTCGCATTGACGACGGATCTATGGCTGAATTTAGGCACCTGCAGCTCGAGGCCGTGTCTCGGTATGAGAACCTTGAGGAGCTTGTTCCAGGCTCCGTCGCGGAACGCGCTTCTGACGAGACGCTGCTCCAGACGGTCCAGAGTATCGCCGGGTGCGGTGTGGCCCTGTTGACCCGGCAACACGAAGATCGTCGAAACCAATTTGTCGCTGCCTCCAAGAGCGATCGCCGTGGCATCGACGCTAGGTTCATAGCCGGCTAAGACACCCGATCGCCAAGTCGTAGCTGGGACCGGTACGAGTTTCCTTTGTCTCACAGCCGGCGAAACGGCAAAGTACAACTCGCCGTCCCTGCCAACGGAGCTTGTCAGACTGCTATTGCAATCGGTCTGAAATACATTGGCGGAGAGCGCCGCCAAAGGTGATCTGAGCGGCACCGTGTTCGTCTTAACGAAGTCCTTGATTCTGCCGCCAGTCTGCTTCCTAACCAGCAGATTCGTTCTTCTGCGCACGAGATCGCTAATGGTGGCGAAGTTCACTTCGGTCACGAGGCCCTCGTAGAATTGCTGGGCCTGCTCCTTGTAGAAGGGCATGAGTTTCCTGACCTTCATCTTGTCAGCGAACAACTCGCGAACGAAGGCGGCGTTCGCGATACCCTGGCCACGAGCTAAACCCACCGCGTCGGTTATGTTTTGGAAGACCAAGTGTGGATTGAACGTGGCCACGTCGTCCAGGCCGAGTACCTCGTTCATCTGATCGGACGTCGGACCGCGAGCACCCAGGAAGATCATCGCCAGTAAGCTGGTCATACCGAACGGCGAGAGTGCCAACGATCTCGCGGTGCTCAAACCCTTATTGGTGGCTACCCAGAAATTGAAGGCCAACTCGTTGCATAGCTTGGCGAAGTTTACAATATCGGCGCTGGTGTGTCTTATGGTAGCGTCTAAGCCGATTGCACTCTGAGACGCGTCCAGTGGTAGGAAGGACTGCGTCGAGGATTGTGGTTGTTCTTGCTGATGTGCCGGCGCTTCGACTCCTGGAGAACGAACGTGGGTGGTGGTGCCGTTGGAATTCGAGTTGGAAGGCGGTAACGACGTCTGAGCGTGATTGACTGGTTTCCTCTGCAGCGGCTTTGGCAGTTTCGACGGCTTTGGAAGCTTCGACATGACCGGCGGTACCTGTTGCGATATAAGCGTCCACTTGTCCTCCGCGTTTACATCGGCATCAGTCTTCGTAACGTTGGGCTTCTCCGATGGTTTGTAATCAGGTCTCGACGT